TGTGTTGTCACCAGCTTATCATGGCGTCACTGGTAGCACTGTACACAACAGACTCTGTGTTGTCACCAGCTTATCATGGCGTCATTGGTAGCACTGTACACTACAGACTCTGTGTTGTCATCAGCTTATCATGGCGCCATTGGTAGCACTGTACACAACAGACTCTGTGTTGTCATCAGCTTATCATGGCGTCACTGGTAGCACTGTACACTACAGACTCTGTGTTGTCACCAGCTTATCATGGCGTCATTGGTAGCACTGTACACAACAGACTCTGTGCTGTCACCAGCTTATCATGGCGTCATTGGTAGCCCTGTACACTACAGACTTTGTGTTGTCACCAGCTTATCATGGCGTCATTGGTAGCACTGTACACTACAGACTCTGTGTTGTCACTAGCTTATCATGGAGTCATTGGTAGCACTGTACACAACAGACTCTGTGTTGTCACCAGCTTATCATGGCGTCATTGGTAGCACAGTACACAACAGACTCTGTGTTGTCACCAGCTTATCATGGCGTCATTGGTAGCACTGTACACAACAGACTCTGTGCTGACACCAGCTTATCATGGCGTCATTGGTAGCACTGTACACAACAGACTCTGTGTTGTCACCAGATTATCATGGCGTCATTGGTAGCACTGTACAAAACAGACTATGTGTTGTCACCAGCTTATCATGGCGTCTTTGGTAGCACTGTACACAACAGACTCTGTGCTGTCACCAGCTTATCATGGCGCCATTGGTAGCACTGTACACTACAGACTCTGTGTTGTCACCAGCTTATCATGGCGTCTTTGGTAGCCCTGAACACTACTTCCTCTTTTGTGTCCCAGACATATGTACTCGTAATAGACCATTCTAACTTTCCATAATCACACACAGTACATCTGTACACTAAACTGTGCATGCATCTTCAATCTTCTGAGTTATTAACCTATTTTATGTTTTTTGTCATGTCCTTAATGTACAGCTTTTGTATTTGACAAGCTTCATTCAAAGCTTCTATAGGAACACGGAAGGCCCAGTCGTCTAATTCGCCGCGTTTCGCTGTGCAGAGTTGCGTCCCTTGGGCACGCCAGAAACCTATGTTTGTGGGTTCGAATCCCGGTTCGACCCGATTATGTTTCTAGGTTTGTCCGCACCATACCCTTGCTCGTGGGTTTCACCGAAGTGGTAAACGTCTGAGACCTGCATCACTTCCGCCTTTCCTCCCACATCAAGCTGACACGCCGTGATATAACTGGAATACTGTTAAAAGCGGCGTTAAACCCAACTCACTCACTCACTCAAAGCTTCTATAGGTCTTCAGGAACCCATGCTTGCCGTAAAAGGTGACTATGCTTGTCGTAAAAGGCGACTAACGGGATCGGGTGGTCAGGCTCGCTGACTTGGTTGATGCATGTCATCGTATCCCAATTGCGTGGATCGATGCTTATGATGTTAATCACTGGATTGTCTGGTCCAGACTCGATTATTTACAGACCGCCGTCATATAGCTTGAATATTTCTGAGTGCGGCGTTAAACAACAAACAAAATCTATAATATCAAACACCTCACCATAACATTCATCGCCGTCGTCTATTTACGACCCTGAACTTCGTGTAGCAAAGGAGAGTAACCGTCCTTGCACCAAGTTGACAGCCGTCAGAAATATGTTCTACCTTTGTCAACCGATGTCAATATTTGTGTTGAGTGACGTCATTGCAGCAACATTTCACAACTTTCAAGCTATATGCGGGCGTCGTGTAAGGTCATAGAGGCCATGTGACATGCCTCGACCGTCTCTCAGGATCCCTACGCCTTCTCTTAGTTGATATTTTAAAGCTGGATTTTTCGATAGAAAGCATGTTTCTTAGCTTATGTTATATGTCGATCGAATAAAATAAGTATCTTTACTTATCATCGACACATGTTTGTTTTGTTTGTTTGTTGTTTAACGCCGCACTCCAATTTTCCAGCTATATGACGGTGGTCTGTAAAAAAACCGAGTTTGGACTAGACAATCCAGTGATTGAAATCATGAGCATCGATCCACGCAATTGGGATACGATGACATGCATCAACCAAGTCAGCGAGCCTGACCACCCGATCCCGTTTGTCGCCTCTTACGACAAGCATAGTCACTTTTTACGGCAAGCATGGGTTGCTCTCATGGTACGAGATACAATCATCGAATGAGCAACATTATGTTTGAACCAGGACGTTTAATCCATCTCACAGATGACACATTATGCCTAGTTCCCTCTCCGGCCTGATTCACCCCTTAGGTCATGGTGAACGGGATGTAGATGCGGATGTGATATTTTATATACTGTAAACAGCTTTATTTCTGCGCCGTTAAAATATTGCGAATACCACACAAAAGACAATACTGCGACGAGATATTTTTGCGTTTTGCGAGTTGCCGTGTTGAGATGACCCCTCGATTACCAAACAATAGACAGCTTCTCTCCGAAGCTAGTTACTCTGAGTTGGCCGGAAAGTTGACCGGAGAGGATTGCGACCAATTATCAAATACGATAATTAACTAACCTCAGGGTCATGATTGTGAGTTTGAATGCAAACAAAATTGTGGACAAAATTGCAAAGGACACTGACGCAATCAAGCGAGGTTGGAAGAAGGCAGGATTACTGTGAGGTAACAGTGACACTGATTGGTCTGTTTACATGTCATTTGTGATGTATTGTGTGACCATTCTGCATTCATTTGTGTTTTTAACTTATTGAGTAACTTGTGGTTCTGGTTGATGATTTCAACATTTGATGACGTGTTGCAATGAATAAAGTATGTATGTATTATTTATACTGATTTTTGCGTTTTTAATTTTTGCGATTGAGTCTCGTTCGCAAAACTCGCAATAATAAAACGGTCGCAAAAAATTCCCTGTTTACAGTATACATCCGTGTTTCAGGGAAGTGTTTGTGTTTCGGATGATGGTTTTAACAGAACAGGAAACATATCGTAAACTTTATCTTTGTCTGTTGAGGGTGTGGAAATGATCACGCATGTAACCATGGCAACCTTGTTGTACAGTTTAGACAGACCAACGCCCAGACACCAGGTATTAATATGGTTCAGAGAAGAAGTCGAAAGATTATAGGCAAAAAACATAATGGAAACGCATATCCTGCTAACATGCATCGGCTGATTCTTTAATTTTCTCTACATTTTACTGAAATTGATATTGCTTTGTGTTCGGGTGTTCTTTGCTGGGTTGGAGCGAGACTGCCTAGTGCCAAGCTTGACCAAATATACATACACACACGTTAAGTATGTAGAGTATCCCTAACAGCAAATTTGTCACATACACTTTGAAGTTTGGAATAAACAGATGTGTATTTTCACTGTAATATAAACGCTTGATGCAGTAGTGTCCTATCTCGTATTCAGGGCATTTGTCCCAGTAAATGTACGCGGGGTGTCATCTTAATGTGATTGCAAAATCCACAGAGACGAAAGCTGAAGACACTAACTACTTTGTTAAAATCCAGGAGAAGAGTGAGTGAGTGAGTGTGTTTGTGGCTGGTTTTGAGTGAGTAAGTAAGGACACATGTTTACCTCAATCATGCCACTTTTGGTGACATATGTCCTACGGATCAAGGAACGAAGTTTTTATTTTAAGGCGGGGCTCAAACTATGCACAAAGGGATAAAATGAGATGCAAAGCAGTATTCAAATACATTCATTGAAATAAATCAAAATCAGTTCATCATATTAAGCAATGGTATACAGAAGGAAGTTATGAGGACTTACTACGAAACGTAGTGATGCAGTCTTCAAAACGAATTTCATTTTTTCTATATTATAATTCAGACTTTGATTTGCAACTGTATCGGGCAGGTGACCACTGGAGGTGTGTTTCTATGGCAACATGTATGCTAGTGGACGAAAGGGTTGGGATAGCCTAAAAGGCGGGCCGGGCCGGGCTTGTCCGGGTCGGGCCAAGAAGGGCCAAATATTTATTGGCTAATTACTCCATTATCGACGACAATACCTACATTTTAGTGATGCAACATATACCCATGACATGAATGAACAATCACAAACCCACAACGTGAACCATATTTAAGTGCTTGCGAGCAAGTCCCTTGAAAAGCAGAAAGTCGAGCTGTGTGTAAGCGTCGCTGAGCTAGGTAACATGTAAAAGAGGTATCCTTAAACGAAATAGGATTTGAAACGTATCAAATACTTCTAGTTCTCGTGATACAAATTTACTATCTGTCAGCATAGCGTTTACATTTATAGGATGGTACTATATCTAAGCACATACCACTTTATAATGTCACCGCTCATCGTATTTAAAGCAGACACGTTGGTTAAAGTAGACCTCTTTTCCCAATACTCTCAACAGTCTCACAAGTGTTCGGTCCGACTTGGCCCGGGCTGTCAAAATCAGCTTTAAACTCATAGATGTATCATCAAGTGTGTTTACATCTATAGAATGGTATTATATCTACCTATGTGCCACATTATAGTGTCTCAGATCGCGGTATTTAAAGCATACACGGTGCTCAAGGTGAAGCTCTGTTCTCTCTACATCATCAACATAGTCTCCATCAGGAGTGTTTGATGATGCCAGAAACTTGGGAGTCATATTTGACTCCACAATGAACCTGGAGAAATCCACCAATAACATCTTTGAAACAACATATGTTCATATAAGAAACATCTTCCCGAGGCAAAGGAGTTAACTGACTGTATTAGTTCATGTCCCACCCTTGCCGGAACTAACATTACTCTTCTACGGGTTTTACTCTGTTGACGGTTGGCGGTATAGATGTTTTGCAAATCTTGCAGTCGACCGAAATCTGAACGTCAGTTTACGAACCGGATGTCGATTTTGTCACGCGATTTTGATTGGACTATTCATAGACTCATAAATCCAGACAAAATATAACAGCCTAGTTCGGCAACGATGGAAACTGAACTTTATAGTCAGTTCATTAGAAAGTAGAAAGCACATGACTCCTGTTCTGAAGACATTACACTTGCTTCCAGTCCGTCAAAGAATCAACTGTGAAATACTAGTTTTAATGTTCATGGGTTGCGCAACGCACCTCCAGCATGTCTGTCCCATCTTGTACAGAAGTACTAGCCATCACGTCCCCCGGGTAATCTGGTCCGTCCATGGAGAGGACTGTACCCTCACGTACTAAGCCGTCACGTCCCCCCGGGTAATCTGGTCAGTTCATGGCGAGGACTGTACCTTCACGTACTAAGCCGTCACGTCCCCCCGGGTAATCTGGTCAGTTCATGGCGAGGACTGTACCTTCACGTACTAAGCCGTCACGTCCCCCCGGGTAATCTGGTCAGTTCATGACGAGGACTGTACCTTCACGTACTAAGCCATCACGTCCCACGGGTAATCTGGTCAGTTCATGGCGAGAACTGTACCTTCACGTACTAAGCCATCACGTCCCCCGGGTTATCTGGTCAGTTCATGGCGAGAACTGTACCGTCACGTTCTAAGCCATCACGTCCCCCGGGTAATCTGGTCAGTTTATGGCGAGGACTTTACCTTCACGTACAAGCCGTCACGTCCCCCGGGTAATCTGGTCCGTCCATGGAGAGGACTGTACCCTCACGTACTAAGCCATCACGTCCCCCGGGTAATCTGGTCAGTTCATGGCGAGGACTGTACCGTCACGTACTAAGCCATCACGTCCCCCGGGTAATCTGGTCAGTTCATGGCGAGGACTGTACCTTCACGTACAAGCCATCACGTCCCCCGGGTAATCTGGTCAGTTCATGGCGAGGACTGTACCTCCACGTACTAAGCCATCACGTCCCACGGGTAATCTGGTCAGTTCATGGCGAGGACTGTACCTCCACGTACTAAGCCATTTGGCGATCGGTCCCCTCTTGGTGTGATATCAACTGCAGAACTATGTACTTTCAAATCTAGATTGAAGTACGTTTTCAGATATCTTCAGACTCGACAGCCCTTATTACAAGTTGTAGGTAACTGGATAATAGCACTATATTAATTCATATCATATATATATGTCCGACTTGGACACTGAAACTGGTTTATGAATTATCATAGACTGTGAATGTTTCTCAGAAGTTGAATTGATAAGTTTACATTTTCTTACCTTTATCTCGGCCATCGTATTGTACATCATACTGGCGACATTATGA